GCCACGGCCCATTTTACCTTTTCTTGTCTCCTGGTCACGCGTTTTGTGTCCTTCCTTGGACTTGACTTTTCAGTTTAGATACTGACCACTTGCCTTGGGAGTGTGTTTCGCGAGTTGGGAAGTGAAGGGATAGGTAGCCTGCAGGTGTTGAAGTATGGGCTCTGCACGCCCGTATTAGCTTGGGTATTTCGTTTCTTATTCCATGTTTTCTGCAGCATGTGGTCAATGGTGGCTGCAGAAAATGATAAAAAGGCGGGCATGTTTTTCTCTGCTTTCCATAAATATCGTTAGGCTGGTTTGTAAGACAACATGTACTACTTTTTGTTTTTGGCTGCCTTATGGTATTGATAGTCCCATCCCACCGTTGCTCAGGTAATGTTGTAGTGGGGTAATTATGGTGTTGATTATAGTGGTGGGACTTTATGTTTGACTTGTATGGTATTGTTTTTTTGCTGCCTTGTTTTGCTAGTCGTTTGTCCTTTTTGACCTAACTTCGAATTATCGCTTTGACACTGGTTACGTATCTCGTACATTGGACTTCCTTTCTATATACACATGCGACATGTGTATTGGTTTTTTTGTGGTGTTTTTTTTGGTTTGTTATTTCTGGTTTGTGTTTGATGTTGGGCAGTGGACTTCTCTTACGTGGCTACTGAGCATACGGTGTGGGAGCGTGAGAGTTTTTGGTGTTCAGTATACTGTTTGCTCAGATGGATTAACTTGGTGGTTTTCATATCCTATTTTGCTGTGCGGCGGGAGGAGCCGGGGATTTCAAACCTTAACAAGATTCTCCTTTTGTTCACTCAGAGAGGCTCAATAGGCTTTACCATTGGCTACAAGGTGCCTAAGGCTAACTTATAGGATTAGTGGCCATTCGACACCACTCTTTGCCTTCTGCTAGGCATGGTTGGTTTATTTTTGTGCTGATTTTGTGGTTCTCTGCAGCAGACAGGGGTGTGGTTTTGAAGTGTAGGCGTTGTGCTTTGGTGTCTGCGCTACCTATTTGGCATCAGCTTCTCTGGCTGCTTGTCATTTTCCAGTCTACGAGAACAAATGCGCGATACACAATCATAGTTGGCTGGTATCAAAGGGAGTTGTGGTGGTGTGGTTGGTATGTTCTGGTCGTCTGAAGCTGGACTGGGGAAGAGGGGGTGGGTGATGCCGTTGTAGTTGGTTGTTTCTTAGTTTTTTTGACGAGAGGTCTCAAGCTCCAGAAGATTTCTCATATTTCCTGTTTGAACAAGCCTCTTTTCAGAATGCCATTTAAAAGAGGCATTTTGGTCGAGTTGCCTAATTTTTCTGGTAATTTATTCTGTGGTTTATGTATGATTTTCGATTGCTGGGAGAAGTGGACCAGTTGTACATATAGTGAATGGTCGGATTGTGTGCATGGTGTGTTGTGTTTGGGCTTTAAGGAAAAGATTTGAAGAGGGGACTTTGGCATCGGGTAATAAGCTGTCATGGCATATAGGGTCAGTTTGTTTATTTGTCACTACTTGGTATGTGGTATCTAATGAAACCTGGCTGAGCGTTTCAAAAAGTCCTCACTATTTTGGTCAGTGGTTGTCGTTTATGACACATGATTATGTTATTGGTGGAAGTTATCGATTGTTGAGGAGAATTGCATGGTCAGGGGGAGCTGACGTTATAATGCCAAAGTTACTTTGAGACAAAGATATGGATTACCTGTGTTCAAGAACTACCTATGTGCGGTGTTTAGGAAATGTTCCAGAATAAAGTGGACTGCGGTGGCATTCCATTCTCCATCCTGGATTCGTTGACTGAAAGAAGAATAGCGATGCGGAGTTAATCACTTATGACAGTGATAGTTATTCTGCAGTTACGGGTTTTTTGGATGAGATTTTCCGACGGAGCATTTGGCCAAAGCCCTATTCTATAAGTTTGGAACAGGTTAAATACATTAGTGTTTTATATCAAAATAGATTCAGTGGTGTAGCGATGATTTTGCATCTGGCTTGGGTGGAGAAGTGTAACACTCAAAACCTTATATTATTGTTTGTTTGGCATAGAGGAGGAAGTTTTTAGTGGACTTACTAATTTAGTTTTTAAGATTGTATGTACTATATGAGAA